CTTTTCTGACCTGAAAGTGACCTGACCTCCGGTAAATTCAGCTGACAATGGCCTCAAATGACACAGACGACACTATTTTCGAAATCTACGAGTTAAATGGACCATAAAACATGCGTCACGTGACCGATACATGATATAAAATTTTCGTGACCTAGGATGACCTGGCCTTGACCTTAAAAATTCGAAGTAAAAGTTCGGTACCCTAAGGGTATCTAAGGCATCCGTCAAGGAGTGCGTAAACCAAAAATAAGCCTGATCGGACCAAAGATCCGGCGGTCAGAGCCTAAATTGTGAACTAACAAAAATGTCGATAATTTTTACTTTGAACTGACCTGTGACGTCATCGGTGACCTCGAGGTCAAAGAAAATAGGTTTCGCTCGACAGTTTTTCCGTGGCTATCAGACGCCGCTTGAATTTTGACGATCGGCCCAGTAGTTTCGGAGATAGGAGGGGGGCTCTGGAGAGCCCCCCCCCCAGTCACTCGCGTTATGGAAAATACCCCAGTCATGCGCGGGTTAAGAGTCGTGGACGACATATGAAGTAGGTAATTTGCACCTTTCCGAGGTGTCGACGGCTTGATATTAGCCATTTTCACGACGGTCAATCCGGCGAGTGCACCTAATTTGACCAAATCTGCACCTAATCTCTTTTACAGCAAATATCTTCATTTTATGAATTTATTTCAGTGTTTTAATCGCTGCTGCTCTCTGATAATACGACAAAGCAGGCATATAAGCAATTGCTGTTAACGCCAGACCTCTTGAGACCCTATTTTTTCGCGATTATTTTTTAAATGCATGGAAGAATTTCAACAAGCTCAGGACATGGCCGTTTCAAGACCTGCCGAAACTTTTACAATTTAGATATTTTGTCGCCATTTCAATATTTCAGGCACTTCTCATTGACTCGTAATGTTAAATTTCGAGCAAGATTTTCACTCGGCGTGTAGAGGCTATAATTACTGTATGCCTGGCCTATTCAAATACATTAGCCAGAGGGGTGTGGTAATAACTGGTGTAAGCAAATTGACCACGGTCAAAAATGCATTACCAGAATGCACTTAACCCTATTAGTGGCAGGGGGGGGGTTGTTTTTATCCACCCCTCAGGTTTTTCGGGAATATCTCCGAAACCGCTGAAGCTACGATGCTGAAATTTTCTGACTTTTCCTAAAACTAAATTGGGCACATTCCCTGAAAATTTCAAGTTCATAACTTTACCAGGGGCGGCTCCAGAGCACTGGGAATTGGGGGGTCCTATTCGTGAAGCGAGTCATTTGGGCGAAGATCACGATGCTGCACCAGTTTTACGAACAGTGAATGAAAGGTATCATGTGATAACATATGCAAAGTTATTGTGCATCCTCTTTTGACACGTTTTTGCTATAATAGGCGGATCCAGGCGTCCAAAAAGGGGGGTTATTTTTTACCTCCCAACATAGGTGCCCTGACACCGCCTATGCATGACCAATACAATTTTAGTCGTTCTCTCATAAGAAAACTGTAACATAACAAGACCATTGCCACCCTTTTTAGAAACAGTACCAACAAAAACCTTATTTACTATACTTTTTGTGTACCCCCAATCTCAATGATCTGTATCCGCCTATGATTTTTGAAAATGCATATTTTTAGGATCCATGTGAATTCCTGGTTCATTCTCTATCGATCGGCAAAAGTTGCGTTAAGATTGGTTCAGAAACCTGGCCGTGATAAACAGTCTAAAATGTATCTGCAATTTGCCCTTTTTTACCCCCCTCTACCCCCCTATTGACATTTTTTAATTCTATTTTTTTTAGAAATGTAGATCTCGTTGAGCCAAATCGAATGCCGTTTGAATTTTGAAAATCGGCCCGTTAGATCTCGAGATATCAAGGGGGGATCGTAAACAGCCCCCCCTGCCACTAATATGGGGTAGCCAGGAGCCTGCCACTAATAGGGTTAAGCCAGGGGGAGGCACTCGCCTTGGCCGTATATGGGCCAGAATGTCTAACGATTTCCGCCATGTTGTGTATACCAAAGTCTTGAAAAGTTGATCACTGCAATCAAACTGCAAGCATGAAGCAGCAGCACTTTTGAGTAGTGTACCTCTCACTAAACTGCACCTCTGCTACCGTACATGCAATTTATATTTCTGGTATACACAACATGGCGGAAATCGATAGACAAAAACAAGTCACCAATGCTCCTTCCAGTATATATTAGAGTTCAGTGGGTTAAGCCAACATTTTGGGATGGTCTCGTTCCTAAGTCGGCTAAGAGCTTCGGTCCAGAAAATAAATTTATCGTTGGCATACAGTAAAATACATACCAAACTCGGCCGGTGATAAATTTTCAAGACCTCAGTCCTTACTGATTTTTGAACTAGGCCTTCGGCCTCGTTCAAAAATCCAGTAAGGACCTCGGTCTTGAAAATTTATTTACACCGGCCTCGTTCAGTATTATATATCACCAGTCAGTCTGTGATACGTTATGTCGTCACAGCTAAGCCCCGCCTATGTGGTCTTGGCCTGCGGCGGTTTCGGGCCGGCGCGCGGTCACTCGCGCTGTGGCGGGGAGCGGGGACGGTCGAGGGGTGCCGAAAGCCGGCGGAGTTGTGCGTAACGTCTTGTCTGACAGTGCCCAAAGAGCGACATGATGACTGAGGAGCCATAAATGCTCAATGCGCATTGCTTGTACAATGCTGATATGTTCGCTGATATTTGTTTTATTTTTTTTTTATAAGCTGCAAATGACGGGCAAATGGCATATAACTGACATAAGGTTAGGAAATATTCACCTGTGTTTAAAGCCTATGGCGTTGCAGACAATGCAATAATGGGATGTTGGATAATGAATGTCATCAAGTAGCTCCTGATTTGTACATCGCTATGCACCCATCGACCAGCGCAATAATTAGCTAATTGCCTTCGCTTCACGTCATAAGGCTCGCTCGTATTTCACCAAACATATATCCTACATCGAAAATCGTATTTGTTAGGAATCGTTAACGTTTGTTCGAAGCATGTGTGAGTAGTAGATTGAGGAGTGATGGTCCTCTTGGTCCCATATACCTACAAGAGTCAACAAGAGCCTAACATTTACTTGACGGTCTGCTGCAATTGATTCATAGCACGTGAAACGTCAGCGAAATTCATAATCCTTTACATATGGCAGGGGTGTCGTTTGTACAGAGGTCGCTGTTGGGCACGGGTCAATGCCGCAGTCGTGGGCGGAGCCTAATGTCATATGACGTATGAAAGCCTCTATCCAGGATGGAAAAACAGCTAACATTACGAGTCAATGACAAGTGCCACAAATATTTATGTGACAACAAAATGTATTTGAAGAAAAAGTTTCGGCAGGTCTTGAAACAGCTATTGCCTAAATATGGTTGAAATTATTCCGCGCATTTAAAAATAATCGCGAAAAAATTAGGGTCTCAAGGCGTCTAGCGTTAACAGTAGTGTAGGGGAGAGTGGGGTAATTTGGCCGGTGGTGTAAATTGGCCGCCCCCACCTGTACGATGTCTAATAAAAGTGAGTGAAATAACTCTAGTCTCTATTCATTTGTCATGGGTAGAAATAACTGGAGGACAAATGTCAAAACTTTGCCCCTCGTAGTTTTATTCAAAATTAATAAAACGTTAATTTCATTAGAAAATGGTAACTTTTACTTCTGTTTATAAACTTGTATAACATGTATGTAGTATTTGGGCTAAAAACGAATTCAGACATTATAGCGCCATTCTTGGGGGTGTTCAGCGGTTCCAAGAGCAATTTTATCTAATTCCGTAAAGCCGCGATGACTTAATAGACAAAAAATTTCAGAATGGCAATATGGGGTAATTTGGCCGGGACTAGCGGGGCAGCTTGGCCGGTGCGCTCATGGTCACTATGCTGGGACGGCCGAGTTTTCATGGTCAATTGTACCATAAATGACATGATTCATGACCAACTTTGACTACTTTGATGCCTTACTTCCGATTGGTCAACTGTAAGAGCATGTGACGTCATCAAAGGTTACCAAACGTTTTTTGCTAATAAATCCTTACATAAAAATGGTACAGCCGCACAAATGGTCTCATTCTGTTCAGCTCGCCAAGGCGCATCGAATGATATGCATGATGACCTTGAAATCACGTGACCTTGAGGTCAAGCGACCTGATGCAACGTGACCTGAGTTCAACCTTTGACCTTGACTTCTCAAGGTCAACACATATATCTTTCGATGCGGACTGACGAGAGAATAACGATGGTACTCGAAGTTTTGGCCTAGCTTGATTACTTCAAAAGTTATTCGTAAAAAACTGTGATCGCATCTAGAGCCGCTACTTTGGCTATTTTGACCCCTGTGACCCCTGAGCCAACCTCCAAAATGCGGCAAATGCGTCATAGGACACACGTCATTGCTGAATCTGAAGCTGACTCGCAATATAACAGAAAATCCCGACCGCAAACTAACACCGGCCAAATTGCCCCACACCCCCGGCCAAATAACCCTGCTAGTGGGGCAATTTGGCCGCCTTGCAGACCTTTGTAATACGTCACAATTTCAATATAAGTAATTACTCTATCATTTCAAGTTCACTGTCCAGTAAAGTAAAATGAATGCGACACCTGCCAGCGTTGAGAAAATGCAGAAATGTGTCGTCAATTTTAAGTTATATCGTTTTCTAAAAAAAGCGGCCAAATTACCCCACTCTCCCCTAACCCTAGCTGATAGCTACTAAAAGACACACTGAACCTGATTTGACCAAATCTGCACCTGATCTGCACCAGATGTGCACCAAATGTGTACCAGATGGCCGTCGTGAAAACGGCTATTGTGAAAGGTAGCTATTTCAATGGTGAAGAACGTTTTCACTGAACATTTAACCCCATATTTCTAATAGCTGTTTCCGAGATTAGATATGCCGAATGAAGGAAAATGATACAAAATGGTTGTGTTGGCGTTGAAATTTATACAGGTCACTTGGGCAATATGTAATCGGGCGAAGACACTACAACGATTCGACAATGATGCAGTGAAACACACAATTTTATATTTACATAGGTGTTTTAAATACGGGCACGACACGTGCATTGATCCAAACAAACGCAGCCCGCTATACTATAGTATGTGCACAATTAGGGGCACAATTTTACCTAATGGGCGACGTTGTTACGCGAAAGAAAAAAAAACAAGCAAGTACCATAATTATTCGTAGCAGTGTATTGCTATTGCTCATAACAGTTATGACAAATACAGTGAGCGATAAAGGTAGCAACGACAAAGTGCACAATGTATGTACCATACTTACAGTATTACGTTTCAGGAAATACGTTTGACAAGATTGAATATAAAAGACACTTCAGCACTTCACAGCGAGCGAGTTGAGCGACATCATTCTGAATTCTGATTGTTTCACGTCGGTATACCAGCATTCAGTATGTAGGTAGGTATGTCGCCTATTCCAAAGCCAATAGCGGTAACGTTTGGCCAATACCATAGCCAATACGTAAGCCAATACCATTAACGTTTCTCTCGCATATTAACAAAATTGACACATCCGTGCAAAATCCGTCGGCCCTTGAAGATATGAGCAGTGAGCACTGGTTTTGAGAGGCAGCCATCGTGTGTATCCAAACGGCCCCATGCGCCACAGGTGCTTGGACTTCGCCTCAGGACGGAAAGCTGGCGACGTCTGAGCTTTCCATTGCACCGTGGGACGACGAGGCTTCGTTACACTTCCCACACCTGTGAATAAAGGCAAACGGCGTCTGTGTAGTTATATAGGCAGACAAGGGATGAATAGCTCTGAAAGACAAGGCTATCACTTAGGCTCACCAGGTTACTGAAAAAATTCATCCCGACTGCCGTTGAAACACTTCTCGAAAAATAAATGTCTAACGAAACGGATTAGAGTGCTTCTGATCCAGGCTTAGGCTGGGGGGATCCATGTGATCGCAAAGCACCTCGCAGTTGCGATCAAACGTAAGTTGAATCGGAACAGATATTGGAGGGATCCATCACATCGTAGGCTAAGTAGATACGCAAGTTGTATCGCAAATGGTGAAGATACGAACTTACTTTACGAATCTTCTCGGTCGATCGGAAGGCCGATCGTAGCGAAGCTTTACCTCTTTCTCAAGAAAAAAAATATAAGAAATTTTCAAAATTTTCACAAAACCGAAATATATGTTAAACAAATATGGTTGATGAACACGTGTGCAAAATTTGAAGTCGATTTCTTCAAAAATGGCTGCGCTAGAGCGTTTTAAATTTACACGTTGAAAACGGTCACTTTCACGTCATTTTTGTAATTATTTTTTTCAATTTTGAAATTTAAAAAGTGTTTTGGGTAATTTTTCGCGTTAATTGCGAAAATCTGACCAAAACATGTATCACACCATCAATGATCCGATACGCCATCAGAGGCCGCGCCGCGGACAGGTGGGCGCGGCAATACCTAGGCCGCGTGGGGGTTACACTGGTGTTCGGGAAGGGCTATGTCAACGCGAGGCAGGCCGCGGGGGAGCCGGTTGCGGCGCCGGTCCGTATTTGTCGGCGCCTAATCCCGGTGTAGTGTCGGCAAGGCCGCACACAGGAGAGGGCACACGGGCCTCCCCCCCATTCGAGTTGGGGCCCCTAATCTTTAGACCGCCGAAGACCATGTAAAATGAACTGAAATAATGATTGAAAAGACCGGAAGGGCCCATCTCGTTCCCCAGCAGGCCCATACGAGTCCATAAATGCCCAGTAGCGCAGCCAGGGGTATTGTGGTGAAATTTCAATGGCCCTCAAAAGACCTCAAAGGGCCCACAGATGGGGTCACCGGGTCCTCAGATGGTCTCGAAGGGCCCTCGGTTAGCGTCAAATGGCCCTCATCTGGTGTCAAAGGGCCCTCAGATGGCCAAATGAAGGGCCACAAGATGGCCTCAAAGGGCCCTCAGATGGGTTCAAAGGGCTCTCAGCCAACGTTAAACCTACCTCAGAAGACCTTAAAGGGCGTCAAAGGGCCCTAAACCTGCGTCAGGGGGCCCTGAGCTCGCGTCAAACGACCCTCCGAAGGCCTTAAAGAGTCCTTAGCTTGTGTCAGAGGGCCCCCAGCTGGTGTCAGTGAGCCCTTCTCAGCTGGCGCCAAAAGTCCATCTGAAGGCCTCAAACGGTCGTCAGCTGGAGTACAACGGTCCTCAGATGCCGTCACGCGGCCCTCAAAAGCCTCAAGGAGCCCTTATAAGGTCTCAAAGGGCCCTCATTTGGCCTCAAAAGGCCCTCCGCTAGCGTTAACCGGACTTCAGAAGGCCTTAAAGGAAGACTGCCACCTTCAAAAAGTTTTCTCAGATCGGCCTATGATTTATTCCCTGGACAAAACAAAATTTTAGAATTCACCTGACAAAGTATCATCACGTGAATCGCGAAAAAATTGTCGATTATCATACAATTATCAATCGGTTAATGTCTAGCGACAATGTTTACACATCACTAGACTTCAAGGTCATAAGATTATTACATTTTATTTGAAAAAGTAAGGTATTTTATGATTTACTAATATATGATTTCATAAGAAATTGGCCATGTTTAATTTATTTTGCATTTCAGTTCGTAAAACATTTAAAAATCATAGCTCATTTGGAATGGGTCTGGCCCATGTTAAACCCCATTTCCCACACTTCTTTGGAAAAAATGAACTACTGAATATATAAGTTTAACTTATTTTGACACTCCAAAATTCTTCTCTGATCTCGAAACAATCAAAGTTTTGACATATATTTACCAAAAGATAAGAAAATTCATGTTTCAAAGTTATCGATAAACAGTAGGGGAAGCCGGGGGAAGCCCGGGCGCGGGGGAAGCCCGGCCACCCCGTTTCCGGCTAAATTATTCACAATAAAATGCTCAACTGTTTGTCCTTTCAGCGTGGCAGCTAAGGTAACGCCAGCAAAAAAAGTTAAGACTGACAAAAATTGCATATTGTTAAAGTTATAGCGCAAAAATGATATTTTAAGGGTTTTTAGCTAAAAAGTGAGATATGTTGCACTGTTAATGTTATACCATACAGTACTAATATTAATACGAATGTTATGTCCGGACCGTTTAAGTGTTTGTAGTGAGGGGTGACGAGGCAGGCTGGCTTAAGTATGACATTTTTTTCGAATATCGCTGTTCTAAAATAAAAATTAGCACATTGGGGTAACCCCGGGCGAGTGGCCAAGCCTACCCCCAACCGAGAGCAATGCCACTAAACCACTGTTTTCCATGAGATAATAGGTACTGAGCAGGTTTGGTTTACACCTAGATCAAAGATAACTTTCGAAAATAAACATGTTATCATAGACAAAGCCAGTCATGTCACTTAAGGTCAACTAGGGTCAAACTACGTTTTTGCAGATAACGAGAGCTTCAAAAATGGTGTCGTTGTGTTCTTCTTCATCAGCCGAGTCGAATGATATGCAATATGATGCATTAAGGTAAAAAGAAAAATAAATTTTAAGGAATTTTGAAATACACATTTTTTGTCAATTTTGCATCACGATTTTCATCGACCTGTACTGTATATGTAGTAGACGCTAGCTAAAATACCAGTAATGACATAAACTCTAAGATGTCCAGAGCTAATCAGTACCTTAATATTTCACTTTCCGTTAATATTTGGAAAACACATAATGGTTTCATCAACTCGTTGTAAAGCGCTGGGGAGGTGGCCGGCGTTACCCCTATGCCGGGCTTACCCCAGAAAAATCAACACTTTTTTAAAACTCGATTTTCTTAACCTTATACTTATTCCACGAAACCGAATTTTTGGGAAAACACGGCCAATGAACTTAGCTAGCTAGCAGGATATCAACATTTTATACAGCACGTATGGTATGAAATAAAAATGAAAAAGAGCTTACTATGCCGGGCTTCCCCCGGCTTCCCCTAGAGATGTCGGTTTTCTTGGACTAAAAAATGGCATCACACTGAACTTTGGTCTCCGATTTCTCGCAAACGGGTTCGAATTTCGGAAAACCGACTTCAGTCTGGGACATAGGTGGCTCAGCTCTAGTGAAAACCGTTTTGTGAAAAATGGTGGCAGTCTACCTTTAAAGGGCCCTTATCTGGTGTCAGAGGGCCCCCAGCTAGTGTCAGAGGGCCCTCAGTTGGCGCAAAATGGCCATCAGAAGGCCTCAAACGGTCCGTAACTGGAGTCCAACCGCAACGGTCCTCAGGTGGCGTCAAGTGGCCCTAAAAAAGCCTCAAAAGCCGCTTAGAAGGCAGCAAAGGGCCCTCATCTGACCCCAAAGGATCCTCTGCTGGCGTCAAACGGACCTCAGAAGGTCTCAAAGGGCGTCAAAGGGCCTTGAGCTCGTGTCAAATATAAAAGCGCCCTTAGCTGGTGTCAGGAGGCCCCCAGTTGGTGTCAGCGTGCCCTCAGCTGGTGTCAGAGAGCCCTCAGTTGGCATCTACTGGCCATCAGAAGGCCCCAAACGGTCCTCAGATGGCGTCCAACGGTCCTCAGCTGACGTTAAGAGGCCCTCAAAAAGGCCTCAAAGACCCCTCGGCTGCTGAAGAGGCCCTTAGCCTCAAAGGAAACTCAAGAGACGTTAAACGGCCCTAAAAAGGCTTGAAAGGGCCCTCTGCTGGTGGCAAAGGGCTCGCATATGACGTCAATAACAGCTTTGTCAAAAACGGACCTGAGAGACCTTGCCGGTCCCTGGTTATAAGGGACTCCTGTCTCTTGCAGTAACCTGAGTGGCCCACGTTTACTGAGGGGCCCCTGGTTATTGAAGGAGTCCCTGGTTACTGGAAGGGCCCCTGGTTATCAGAGGGTTCCCTGGTCACCTGGTGGGTCCCTGATCAATTGAAACCTCCCGATCATCTGAGCGCCCCCTGATTGCCTTGGTCTTGGCGTTGGCGTACAGTTTAAAGTCGTCGGCACACTGCGGCCTCCTCTTTCTCAACAAGCCCCTCTATTTCTTCTGCAGCGAGGGCGATTTCGTCAAAATACTCCTCCATCGCGAAGCCTCGTGCACAGACGCAGTCTTCGGGGCGCTCGCTGCGCCAACTCTTGACGCCAACTGACGGGCTCCAAATGGAACAGATGGACTCCGAAACGAACGTGGGAATGCCGACACATGATCCCTCCAAATTTACAGAGGAGATGTCCCTGATAGCCCATTTGCAATAGGGGTCACTTTTACACTATAGACGTATGGGGAATTCGACCTTATCGACATGGTACTACGAGGTCAGCTGATCTGCTTGGCATTTAAATCGTAGTAAAACTGGCATTTAAACGCTGCGAAACAACTTACGTACAACGTAGCTCCGATGGGCCGCTCTTTCTTTTTCATCCCTCCGATTTTCTTCCGATCAAGAGAAGTTTCGTACCGAGAGAAGTTTCGCAGCCACGTCCGATATAACTTACGATAGCACGGATTTCCCCAGCTTAGTGTCTAAGCCATCAACTTTGATCGATTATATAACATATACAAGAGCAAATGTACTAGGTATATCACCCAGGCCATAAAGTCAATATTTGCAACCAACAAAGTGAAAGGGAGTAATTAACTAAACACGAATTATAGTAGACTTAAATTGATGAACAGGGAAAATCAGCACGGCGGTGAATAAAGCATGTAGTATTAATGTAACAACGGCGTGTAGGACACCTATTTGGGGCGGTTTCACGATCCTCTGCGTCTGCAGCTCGCTCACCTGAGTCCTGACGGACTCTGAGTCCAGTTCCCTCACCTGAAGGACTCTGAGTCCAGATCGCTCACCTGACAGACTCTGAGTCCGCGGCTCACTCTCACCTGATGGACTCTGAATCCGCAGTTCACTCTCGCCTGACTGACTCAGAGTCCAGATCGCTCACCTGACGGACTCTGAGTCCGCAGCTCACTCTCACCTGACTGACTCAGACTCCACCTCGCTCACCTGATAGACAACGTGTCCAGCTGGCTCACCTGACGGACTCTGAGTCCAGTTCCCTCACCTGACGGACTCTAAGTCCAGTTCCCTCACCTGACGGACTCTGAGTCCAGTTCCCTCACCTGACGGACTCAGAGTCCAGTTCCCTCACCTGACGGACTCTGAGTCCAGTTCCCTCACCTGACAGACTCTGAGTCCAGTTCCCTCACCTGACGGACGCTGAGTCCAGTTCCCTCACCTGACGGACTCCGTGGACGCCGACGTCAGCAGCTCTATGGACGAGAAGGTCTTTTCGCGGTGGCGGCCGGCGGCGGCCGACGTCCAGCGCTCGTCCAGCTGGCGCAGCACGTGCCGCTTGGCGCGCTGCGTGGAGCGTCGCGCGCGCTGGATGCTCGGCAGCACCCGGTGACACCGGCTCGTGTCGTCGTGGATGTAGCAGTCGCCGGTGTCGGCGGCGCCCTTCTCCTGGTCGCGCCGCGACAGCTGGTAGTCGAGCCGGCACAGACACAGTCCGAACGTGCACATCACGGCCGCCAGGCACAGGAAGAACGTGCCCGCCACGCGCGACTGCACGTCGTTGGCGGCCGAGGTGGGCGCGCGGAACGCGATCACACACAGCAGGCTGCCGGCCGCCAGGAAGAACAGGCCGAAAATCACCAGCGACACGTGGCAGTTGGCCACCAGCGCCACGCCCAGCACGCTCATGTCGCCGCTGTCCACCGAGTCGGCTCGCAGGCGAGCGGCCAGCGCGTCAGCGGCCGGCGGCCCGGGCGCAGCGGCCGCGCCCGCCGCGCAGCGCTCGTCCAGCGAGTCCTCGTCCGCGGGCTCGGCGTCCTGCGGTGCCGGGGGACACACGGGCAGCTGCAGGGTCGCGCAGGAGGTCGACGCGCCGGCGGGCGGCTGGGAGGGCGGCGGAGGAGCGAAGGAGGGCGTCGGCGGCGCCGGCGAGCTGGCGCAGCTCTGCGCCGAGGCGGCGGGGCTGTCGTGCGGTACCAGCGCAGCCGGGAGCTGCACCCTGGTCCAGCTGAGCCGGCGGGCGGGCCCCTGGTGCACGCTGACCTCGGGCATGCCGCCGTCGGACATGGCCGGCCAGAGCCGCCGGAACCCGCTGCCCACCAGCCACCTGAGCGGGCACACGCACACACACATCGGACATGCGACGCTATGGGACATGTAAGTATAACCACAGCACAATGGGAGGGCTAAGTGTATGGGAAAATAGCTCTTACACAAAAAAACGGGAGGGATATAGGTACAGATAAAACGCACGGAACTGCAAGAAGAACAAAGGAGAACTTAAGTAACTGATAGGCAAAATAAAAAGTTAGGAGGCTGAAAAGGCTACAAAAAAGGAGCCACAAAAGCAATGTTGATATTTCTTTCGCATCCGCTCTTTGCAATGCCTACATGAAAAGATGCAGAATGTTCTAGGCATGATCAACTGTTACAGGAACCACGTCGATAAAGGTGAGTCGAATAAAGCGACGAAAGCATTGGCTCCATTAACCCTCGCCCGCACATGGGGGGGGGGGGGGGTTGCCACCCCCCAGGCAGTCTTTCTGCTCTGCACTCAACATTTTTAGAGCTAGAAGGCTGATTTTTCGTATAGCTGCTCGTCTATCCTTTCTTGATGTCCACTGAAAATTTCAAGTTTCTGTGATTTTTGGTTTCGGAGATATGACCTTGTTTTTCAGGTCATGTCATGACCCAAATGGCCAATTCTCAACATCTTGCGTTTGCCATGGGCCTTGTGAGCTTTTGACACCCTGATTTCGGCCTTTTTTGCCAGTCTTACCTCCCACCTATCATGGAACATGTTGTTCGACGATGTACAGGGGTCAAGGTCAGGGTCAAGGTCAACCTAGGTCATCTAAGATAATTGCGTTTTAGGCAAGCTGAAATTACTTTTTGTGAAGTTTTTTGACTGCATTTTTGGTAAAAGCTTCTCAGATCATGATTTCATGTGATATGGACCCAAAAACAATCGGTGCACACATCAGTACACACACAGACACACACAGACATACAAACACATATAATTGACCTTGACCTAACTTGACCTGAAATGACCTCAGCAGCAAAATTCTGGTCGGATAGTGTGACAAAGAGGTTCTAGCTGGCTTGGCACCAGAAAACAGCATCGTCATCGGTATTTGATAAGCAGCGCACTTGATATCCAACGGTGACCCAAAACAGCAACATTTTTTAGTTTGACCTGACCTGGAAGGTCAATGACTGACCTGAGAAGGTAAAACTGGGTATCATTGGATTTGTCTCTTCCCAAAGAATCTTTTTGGTCTTTACTGCTAAGCTCTATCTCCAACAGGAACGAAATGGCGCGGGGGGGGGGGTAGCAACCCCCCCCCCCCATGTGCGTTCTAGGATGGGAAAATGGCATGTGCGGGCGAGGGTTAATGGGACTCGTCATGCCATTTAAATAATTTACAGAGACATTTACATGCTGCCAGTATGAGCCACATCATATGAATGGCAAAACGCCTTTTTATTTTCGCAAATGTCAAGACATTTGATGCCTTGATGGACATCAATCCGTCTTGAGATGCTGGGGGGGGGTAAATTTTACCCCCCCTCGCGAATTTTTGCAATATCTCAAAAACAGCGGCGCGCAGCGCCGCCAAACTTTCAGTACCTTTTCTTACAACAATTTGACACGTTCCCTGAAAATTTGAGCGAAATCCGTCGGAAATTTTTGAGCAATTGACGTTTTAGTGACGTCATGTTCGCCATTTTCGCCTCAAAAACGGCAAAATTTCAAACGCCGCTAACATCTTCATTTTTAAAGGAATCAAGACGTAACAAAAAAGGTTATACGTAATTTTGTTTTGTCTATCAAATGGTTATCTCGGTTTTTTGAAAATTTTGGATTCTGGCCCAAATTTTTCAAAAAAACTGACGTTTTTCGGAAAATAATCATAAAATCCAAAATTTTGAGTGTATCTATAAAACCGGAATATGTGTCAGAGGAGTTGTCTATGTGCACCTACATACTAATTTTTAGAAGAATCGGTTCAAAAATGTGGGAGTTATTAAATATTTTATGACGTCACGACACACAAAAAAATTGAAAAATGATTTTTTTGGAAGTTCTAGACCTTGTACGGTAACAAAAATAGCACCATTCGATTTGCCGTGAAAAACTGCATCAGATAGACACCTTTTTAGGCCTTAACAACCAACTTCAAAATTTGACCTCACTTGACCTGACTTTGACCTGACCTCGACCTGAAATTCATCCAGAGGTGGTCCATATCACTTATTGAGTGTGCCTATTGAATTCTATGAGTAAAATGACCCATAAAACATGTGTCGCACATGCCCTTTTCTATATTTTGTTTTTGGTGACCTGACCTGACCTGACCTGACCTTGACCTTGACCTCTGAATGATATTGTATGCAACGAATATTGTCTTGGTAGCCTAAGAACACGTTTTGGGCAATCAGTCTCAGTCCATGACTCCATTCTTCGGCAACTACGGTGCAAGGCCGATACTGTAGGAACTTGCAATTTGTACCCTTGACCTAACCTTGACCTTGACCTCAAACTTTAAACTAAGTACATGTTTTTAGTTGTTCGTGATGAGATCTTGATGAGATCTTTCGATTGGCGTTTGAATTTTCCAAATCGGACCATTAGTTCGGGAGATAACAGGGGGGCGGGGTAAAATTTACACCCGCCCCCCCAGCCCCGCGCGTTCGGCTGGAGACCCCAGCCCCCCGCGGGATAAGTCTCTACATAGACTACTGCATTACTCTACTCCTCACAACTCACACTGGTCTCTCCACTGTGCTACGCCTTGCTCGCTCATATCAGCGAGCAAGGCGCTCGCTCCATCTTATACGCAACATGTATGGCTCCTGCTCGAGCCATACACAATACCTACACACAAGTGGCACACCAATACCGACTTAAATGGGATTTTAACCCTCGCCGGACCTATTGGTTTTCTACATACGCGCCGGCCGAGGGGGGGGGGCGGGTACGACCCCCCTCGCCGTTTCGCCCCTGGTGGAGCTAGCGCGTCGCGGAAAAAACGGGCGTGTGCGCCGTTACGAGACGCAGAGATTGGTACCCAATTTTAAGGTCCTAGGTCAACCGGTGACCTCTGAGGTCAGGTCAAGTGCCCCAAGGTACGGTTCAGTTTTTGGTGAATAACTTCGCAAAAAACGGCCGCAGAGCCGCGATTTTGGCAGCATCGTGTTTGTCTTGCTCCGGCGCGTCGAATGATATGTTTTTTGTTCGGGTCAGGTCAACTTTGGGTGTTGACCTCAGGTTCAAGGTCAGGTCAGCACCCCCAGGTCACGAAGTTGGTCGAAAGAGGTCATGTCGCATATCATTCGATTCGGCAGGTCTTCCTGAGTCCATTGGTGGCTTTCTCGACTCTCTAGCTCAATTTGATCGGGAGTTATTGACGAAAAACTGATATGACCTTGATGACGTCATAAATGACGTCACGCAAGGTCAACATTGCAAAAGTGACGCATCTAACCTTGCAAGGAGTGCATCAAATCACGATTCTGTGTGCTTGAGATAGTTGGAGATCGTTTCCGGCGCCAGAATAGCAGTTTTCATTTTTCCCCATTGACTTATAATGGTGAGGTCACGAAAATGACCTGACCTCATATGATCTTTAGGAAAAATCCGAGATATACAAGTTGTGAGACTCATAATGGATACTAGATCCTGCAAGTTTCATTTCACTGTGACATCTCCTCTGGCAGTGAGGTGTTGCGAAGTTGCGGCATCTGAAGACCGTGCAGAGGTTCACTTATGACGTCATAGGTCAGTGACCTGACCTGACCCAAAAATGCGGTTTGTGTCAAAAGATGCGGCTTGGATCAAAAGTCAGGTATGCCAAGTTTCAGCCCTCTATCGCCAGCGTGTTCGGAGCTATCGCAAAAAAAACCTATAGGGGGCGGCACCCGCCCCCCCCCTCGGCCGGCGAGGGTTTTAAGGCACTAGAACGTTTGGCGGGGTTATGTATTCACGGAATATGTTTTAGACTGATTTTAGATGACAACAGATCATGAAGACTGACGTTCGCCATAAACGATCAATGTCAATAACTTGTCATAAAGTACCGAATAAAAAATAGCTAAACACATTGAGATTATGAAGTGCACTTTTCGTTGACCCTGCACTAGTGGACATTTTTTCTCTTTGACGACCGTTCAAATGAATTTTAGCAAGTCATTCTCTTTTTGCATTCGTCGTTAGAGAAGGCACTCGACACCTCTTATGAACCACTTGACTATAACTAGTGATGTCATGACTTCGTTGGACTTAAGATGAGAATAAGATGGAACCTGATTAAAAGGCACAGAGTTCTCATCTTATTCTCATCTTAAGTCCAACGAAGTCACGACTCTTCGATCTCATCAATCGCAATCATGGTAGATCAACTTTGAGAAACGTCTTGGGCTACTTAGCCCTGATCATGAAAAGAGAAAAATGTAACCTTGACCTGAAAATGTTACTAAATGATCAATACAACTTTGTGCCTTTTAATCAGGTTCATTCTCATCTTAAGTCCAACGAAGTCACGACTCTTCGATCTCATCAATCGCAATCATGGTAGATCAACTTTGAGAAACGTCTTGGGCTACTTAGCCTTGATCAAGAAAAGAGAAAAATGTAACCTTGACCTGAAGATGTTACTAAATGATCAATACAACTGTGCCTTTTAATAAGGTTCATTCTCATCTTAAGTCCAACGAAGTCACAACTCTTCGATCTCATCAATCGCAATCATGGTAGATCAACTTTGAGAAACGTCTTGGGCTACTTAGCCCTGATCAAGAAAAGAGAAAAATGTAACCTTGACCTGAAAATGTTACTAAATGATCAATACAACTTTGTGCCTTTTAATCAGGTTCATTCTCATCTTAAGTCCAACGAAGTCACGACTCTTCGATCTCATCAATCGCAATTATAACGATGTCCTTTAAAATGCGAACAGGAGCTGAAAAGTGAGCTGAGATGGTCATTAGTTGGCGATCGCAGTGGCTGTGATACCTAGTATGCATGTAGAGAGTGCTCAGTGTAGGCAGGTAAATAGTGTATGTAGGCATGTACAGTCTGTCTTAACCCTCGCCCGCACATGC